TAATAGAAAATGTCAACCCAGCATTCTTGGTGCCTGTGGACAGCAGATTTCCTTATGGAAGTTGCCACAGCAATTTTCTTGCAAGAACAAGCTGTCTGTTCCAGGCTGGACAAACTCCAGCTCACACACACACGGTGAATGCATGTGGCTGCTCTCTGTGGCCGAGCAGCTGTCGCGAGCACATCTGAGGGCCCGCAGCCCTCTGTGGCAAAGCCCTCGTACCTCGTTCCTCCTCGCCCTTCTCTTGCAGGAGCGGAGGAGGTGGCACGAGGTCCCGCTGGTGCCGTGGGTCCCCGGGGACGGGCATAGTGGCACTATGTGCTTGCACTGCACATGGTGTTCTGCATGCCCAAGACGGCAATGCTACTGAAATAATTCCTTACGTCTGTGCTCACGGGGGTCCCGCAGAGATGCGGCTCCCCTGCTCCTCTTCCTCTCCTTTTCCACCCCGTCTCCTTGCTCTCCTCCCTCTGCCTGCCCCCTTCTCCTTCCTCCCTCGCGCCTGCATGACCCAGATCCGCGTGGCTTTGACACACTACGGCTAACCTGCAGCACTACAGAAGGCTGATGCCTTCCTCAGAGCATGCTGCTTCCTATTTTTACCCTCTCTGAATGACAGCCGCCTCAGACCGAGCTGTGGAAGCCTGGCCCCTGGCTCCCTGTGCAGGATTTGCACGGCTGGTGCTGCAGGCATCACTCACTTGTGCTCCAGCCTGTGTCCGGCCAGACTGGGGCTGCACTGAAAATGTGTACCCATGAAGTGTGTAAAGAAGGCATGGGAAACTTGCATTTGCAGTTGTGCATATGGAAATGAGAATGACATAATTATAAGTAGGATTATGGGGTTTTCTTCTGTATTTTGAATTTCCTTTCTCCCACACCCCCATCTAGATTTTGCCTGCTTTCATAAGCGCTGCAGGGGGTGAGACCACCTGCACTGTGACACTACGGATTCGCTGTGGTACATCGAGAGTGTGCACGTGCTCTCCTCCGGCGCATTGCAAGTTTCTCCTGATTGCATGGTTTTGTTATATATGGAGTGGTACTTCGTGTTGAGAAAATGGTTGATATTAATAAAGAAGGGGGAGATTTGGGAATGTGGCCATGGAGGTTGGAAAGCCCCGTGGTTGAGATAACATTAGACTCTTAACGATGAGGCCATCAGGAATATAAAAGAGTTTAGAGGGAGCAAAGAAGGGTGATTCAGGGGACCCCATGCAGTCTCAGGTTGCTTGTTCTCCAGCCATTAAGGCATGGAAGTTTCTGTGTGTTTGCTGTTGTTGTTAGATGCAAAGTTGTTTGACCAATGAAAAGTTGTTTTGAAAAGAACTGCTGTGGGGAGAAGGGTATAAGAGGGGAGCAACACGATGAAGTTGCGTCATCAATAAAGAAGCAGGAAAAAGGAGTGAAGAGGAACAGGCTGGCAGAATGGAGACCAGGATGGGAACAGGCACACTGATCGCCTCATGAAGATGGGTTCGGCCAAATTCAGCAAACAGCTCCAAGAAGCTCGTCCAGAAAGTCGCTGGAAATGGGCGCACCGGGGCTGGGAAGAAGCTCCAGCTGAGAGAAGCGGAGCCGCGCACACAACTGCCCCTTGCTGGTCAGCAGTTGCGCGTTAGGGGGAATCGTACGTCCTTAGGAACAAAGACTGTCCTGGCAAGGTTACAGCTTATTCTCCTTCTTAACAATCAGACAGTTTATGAGCCTGAAACATGGGACCAAACTGAGGTCAAGGTGTGGGATTGTGCAACTAAAAACGACAAGGTTGCAGCGGGATTGCTCGGCACCTGGCGAGCAGCCTCCGAGGCCTTACAGAGCCATGTGAGCCCACAGTCAGACACGTGCGGTTTGCCAGACAGTGAGGGAGCTGCGCGCTCCTTTACTGATCCCACTGCTACACCATGGCCCCTTTGCTGCCACAGCCATCTCAGGCCTTTGCTGTTACACCCCCTGGTAACCTGGACATACCTTTTGACCCAGGCCTATTGGCCTTGAAAAGGAGATGGATGTGCTTTTCTTCAATCCGGGAAGAACGGGATACATAAGGCCTGAAGGCCGAGTTGCTTGACAACTTACAGCGAGACATATTGTTCAAAAGGAGTGAAAAATGGAGACTATTGAGTTGTGGAACTTGGAGGATTGTTTGTTACCTTTCCTGATTGTACGTATGTATAGGCATACTCGGGTTTAGGATGTAAAGCAATGTTCTGTATATTTAGAAGGTTTGATCTTCGTGTGTGCATGTTGGTGGAGCGTAGACTCCCCATGAACCCAGCACTGTTTACTTTCCTTTTATACCTTTTATAAGTATAAATATTGCTAAATTCAGATTGAGTTGAGACTTCATTTATAACAGTTTGCTTAAACAAGACTCCAATAACAGTTTATCATAAAAACAAAACAACAACAACAACAAAAAACCCTCAATTTTTCATCACCCTCAATCTGGGTTATTTTTTCCATATTTAATGGCTGGATAAACAAATATTTACTGCATTTATTCCATGCGGTTGCTTTCCTGCTCAATGGTAGTGATATCCTTTTATGTTTCACATCAGCATGTAAATTTTGGGGGTCGGGGGGGTGTTGTATATTTTGTCTTGCAGTCTGACTTTAAACCTGTACAACCTTTACTAGCCATTGCACTAGCAACAAATCTAACCACATGCCCATTGCAAGCACTGAAGGTCCAGCACTTCCAGAGGGCCTGAAGTTGTTTGTAAACTGCATTGTTGGTGACATCAAAAAGAAGCTATTTTGCCTGTAAATAGAAAGGATTTTGATGCTGAGGGATCCAGCTGGACACCAAACTTTCCAAACTACAGGAATTCTAAAATCAAAATTTTGAATGAAATAAAAAATCGCACTTTGTAACTTTTCAAAGTCCCCAGTTTTCACGTTGGAAGGCCTTCTTAGCCTCCCAAATGTCTAAAACTGAGGCTGCGTGGATTGCACTGGTGTAACTGAAAAACTAATATTTTGCAGCTGTTTTCCACTCAGGTGTCCAAATCCTGAAGCAGGCATAAGGCGTAAAACCAGATTTGAACATTTGTTATATTCTTCAATACAAGTTGCTTGTGTAACTGGGAAATACGTGATCGATTCATGCACTGCAGCATCAGCCTGAATCAGATGTTGCCTCTGCTGTGGAGCATGCAGGCTCCCACAGTCTGAATGTTTGATATTGGCTGCTTAGACATATAAAGCATAATCATAATTATTATTCTTTGTTTTTTTTTCTCCCATTACATAAGAAGAATGATTTGGGTTCATGGAGCTTTCTGGATATTTAAGAGAAAGAAGCCCTTTCACCAAAGGTTGAGCTCTCCCAGCAGATGCATGCCCCAGCGTGCTGGCAGCAGAGAAGCCCCTTGTGAGGAAGCATCTCCCTGCATTCATAGCCACAGAGGTGAGGCCTGGTCCTGCAGCCCATGGGATGGGGTTAAAACTTGTGCTGGCTTGCAGCAGGGAGCGGGAGCTGCATGGGAGGGCATTTTTTAAGGGAGATAGTGAAGCACCTTTTGACAGGAGTGATGAGGATGTGTCTGAGCCCAGCTGAACTGGCTGGAAGTGTATGCAGGTGTCTGGGGGCAAGCACATGGGCCCTAGCCCTGTGTAAGTTGGGGGAATTTTAGGATGACTGACTATACCTTCCAGTAAAATCATTGTGCCCTTGGTATTTCCATGCAAATGTCCAGGTGAGCTCTTCAGTGCAGGGTTTTACTGCTGCTTCAGCATCTTACTCCATTTTCCGCAGCCCCGGAGCTGGGATGCTTTTCCTGCCTCCATCCCACCATGGAAAGCACAGGTGTCTCGGCGCTGTTCACACCTGCCATGCAGATCCTATCCCAAATCCCTCTGCACTCAGGGTGCATTGCAGTCACGCAAGCAAGGCTGCTCTGCATGGCACGGTGGTGCCTTGTGAGCTTGGAAATGCCCTCTACAGGGCATTGCAAGGGCTGCCCTGCTAGCATCCAGTTCTGAGGAGGATGGGGTCCTCACTGCTTTAATTCCTCAGAGGGAAGCTGAGCTGTTGGGACCTACAAGGACAATCCGCATGGAGCATTTGGAAGATGAGAAGTTCTGCACACCTGGTTCTACCTATTAGTAGATGTGGGAAGTTTTCACTGCTGCCCTCACCTGTCTTTAAAAGCGTGTGATTTAGTGCTTTGCCCTTATCAATATGGTTGTTCGTGCTTTTTCCTCCTCACCTGCCTGTTTTTGTGTACAAGTGCTGCTCACAGTGCAACTTGGGCCTCCTTTATACAACCCCTGCTGTGCTGCAGTTTCAAAACTGTCTCCTGTCTTCAGCAGAGCACCAGGAAAAGCAAAGCACAGGCAATATTGCCTGGTGGAGCAGCTTGGAAATAACAGTCTCAGTTTCTCACTTTACTTAACAGCCTCTGCTTCTGACCCTTTCTACCCAGGGTTTTCAGGGCCTGAGAGCTCGTTGCCTGCTTTACTGGGTGCCTGCTGTGTGGCTCTTTCTGCTCAGCAATTTCCACTTTACCTTTCTGGTTTCTCTTGCTGCTTTGCCCTCAGCCTGCCAAAGGGCAGGTGCTGAGCAGAAGCCTGTTGGAGGCAGCAGGCTGCAGAATTGGTGCCTGTGCATCCCTGTGGTAATGCAAGGCATGGCCAGAGGGTGAACAGCTCGCTGGTCGAAGGCTGTGGGTCTGGGAGAGGCTGAAGGGCTTGCAGAGGGGAGCCTGTGCCAGGGAATACTGCTCCATGAACAGAGATTATGTTCAGCAGATACTATCATGCTGAAGGGTATTTGTCTGTGACCTCCCCTCCAGTTGTTACCCAGAGGACTCCTCAAGGCCAGCGTGTGATTTTGCAAGCGTTCATCCCTTCCTGAGAGTGACTGCATGCTGTACACATCTTGTCTTTTTCATCATGGTGCTGGTTTAGATCCTACATGTTCTTTCGTGTCCAGGAGACAGAATGTGTGGTTTTGCTTAGAAAAGAATCATTAAAAAAATATAGAATAATTCTACTTTAAAAAGCATTTAATTTTATTATTTCTCCTGATACTTATTCCTTTTTTTTTTCCTTTCTTGTCTGGCTTCAAGGAGCAGGCGTGGAAGCTAAGCCTTTACTTTCCAAGTCTGACTCAGTTCGCACTCACGTGCTAGCGTGCAGTGTTGCCATCTGACAGCTGCCTGCAGCTCACTTCAGAATGAGATGGTGGTTTAAGTCCGGTGCTTCAGGCTTAAGAAAAACCAAAGAGAATTAAAATAATAATAAATCTAATTTCTCCTGCAGGTTGGGACTGTGTGAGCACCCCTAGTGGAGAGCCCAGAACAGAGATGGGAGGTGGCAGAGATGCCCTCTGCCTGGAAGGCACCCTTACCTCAGTGAGCAACCTCACCTTCCTTCTCAGCTCAGGACGTGACCCACGTTGCAAGGTGCATCTCAACAGCTGTGACCTGACTAACAAAGTGGTGATCTGGAGATGTGGTAGGTGCTAGCTGCTTTCTGTTACCTGAGAGCTGTGTACCTGCTGGCTCACTTTTCTTTGAAAAGACAGCGAATTAAGTCTGTAATTTCAGTAAAGATACGTGCAATTCCAGTCACATTATTGAAACTCCTTGTGGCCTCCCCACGTAATACATTTTGAGGCTTTGCAGCAATAAGGAAACAAAATCTGGCCTCTTAGATAAATCAGCTCCCTCATGTGCAGGGTCACTGCCAGGTCCATGGCTTGATACCGTGCTATTATAAGCCCATGTATTGTCCTCAGAGCTGGTCCGTAGTCAGACTATTGCTGATTTCATGCTTTGATTTAAGGTTACTAAAAAGCTATACAGGCCCTCTAGGGGGTAAGAAGATTGGAAAGGAAAGATTGGAATGGGCAACACAAGGAAAATAATCAACAATGCCTGAGCTCTGGAAAACAGAAGCTCCTCTGGGAAAATGCCTTCTCAGTCACTTACAGCCCGTCTGCCCGGTGGTAACCCAAGCGCCAGGGCAAGACACCACATTAAGCCCATCAGGTGTGCTGGATGGCACAACCTGGCCCGATTTAATGAGCTGCTTACACAGGTGTTGTAAGTGATGTGAGTTAACATTTTGGTGGCATGACTGGCGCACGCTGTGGGAAGCCAGTTGCCTGGAAGGTCAGCTCACCCAGCGAGGCTCAGCCACTGGAAAGCATCTTTTGATAGGCAGAGATGTGGTTCTTCCTGCTATGTAAATGCCGATCTACTCATTCCTTCTCCAATGTATGAGGCTATTAGGGGATGCTGCCTAGTTTTCAGAGGCAAAAAAACTCAAGAGTTTGCCACAGTGTCAATCTGCTCTGGGTTTAAAAAACAGAGCAGAAAAACCCAGCTCACATGGCATTTGCCCATCTCCTCACCGCTATGTCCTCACAAGTTTTATTTAGAGATACACAATTCACATGCCAGCTGTCCCCTGTGAATGGTGAGTGGCAAATGCAGCTCACCCCAGATAAGCACTCCTGATATTTCCTTCTTATGTGAGCCCTGTCCTCACTCAGGAAGATCTGAACTTGGCATGCCTCCTGCCTGTGCTGCACAGGAGGATGTGGGAGTGGAGGGATCCACAGTCGGTGCTGGGAAGGAGAGGTGTGGGGCAGGGAGATGAAGCCAAGGACATCTGATTGTGCTTGACTCACCATTCTGCTGTAGCATCAGCAGACCCCGATGAAAGGGTGAGGAAAGCAGGGAGGCTGATGTTCGTGCTGTCAGTCCCACCTCTGGGCAGGAACCTCCCTCAGAGGCAGGTGGTGTTAATGATTAACACGAGGTGTATGTGGTTCTTGCTTGCAGCCCAGGTCGGATGGCCTTCAGAAAGTCTCTTTTCTAACCAGCTCCATTTCACTACCAGAGCAAGAACAGACATTTATATGGCACACATGCTGCATTTGTGGCCCAGAGAGAAGTGAAGTTATTTCATTTTTATTTCCTTTTGAAGCATCTAAATGGAAGCATCCCTGTGAACCAGGGAACAAACGTCTGGTGGTGCACAGTGTCAGCTGCATTGCAACATGCAGTGGGCTGGGGCGAGAGTTTAACGTGGTCCAGTTAAGACCAGATGCCTTCTGCTGGGCTTCGCTGGATTTTTCTGAAATGGATTTAGATGTGGGAGTGTGCTAAGACATTGGAAATGCCTGGCATGAAAGGTATGATGAGTGTTTTCTGTTGCTTTAGATGACCCCTGTGAAGCTAATCCTAGCTCTGTCTGAGATTGCCATCTATAAAATAGGTATTTTGCTTCCCTGCCAACACTGCAGGTTCATTGATAGATGAAGAGTGAAGAGGTAGACCAGAGTCTTTTTGTCTGTGATTGCTTGTAGCTTGCTAATTCATCGTTGCCATAACTCTAAAGCCAGAATATCGCTGCATGAATTTATAGAAGAACTCGGGGGGAGATTTTTGCTTTTCAGCATGCTCAGTTTGCTGGACAATGCCACATGTTGCTTTTGGTTTCATTTGTGCTTCAGTGTTAGTTGTTTTACAAAATATGCCCATGTAGGTACTTAAGTATGTTGGAGTATGTTGGGTTTGCTTAGTGCTAAAAAATACCCTCCTGATTCTTTGTTACCTTTGTTCTCATTAAGAAGTAATTGAAGAGTTTGCATTTGAAAAATGAAGCACATCTCATAATTTTGTAGCATTTAGGTGGCTTTCTTGCTGGTTGCTTTTTTTCCAAGATCAATAGCAGGATAAAAGGTACATCTACTGATGTATAACTCGGGGTGAGGCAAGTCGAGAAGGCAAACTGGAGATCTAAATTGCTGATTTTATTCCATGTGTTAAGTGTTCTCAAAAACTAAAGGCAATCCAGGAAACAGCTGGACATGGAAAGAGCATGTTATGATTTTTGATGTGGACTGTAAGGAAAACTATGTAGCAGTTTACAGATTGCCAGGAAAAAAGAAAAAGGAAACAAAACCAACCAAACAAAAAACAACTATTTGCAAGGTTATACACTGCAAGAAATTTAGAAAAGTTGGCAGTATACGGAAGTTTGGCACATGCTGAGTGGAGGCAGACTGTATCCATGTAGGTCTTCACAGATACAGAGAGACACTTACATATGCTTTCTTTCTTAATCTTCTAATGCCTCTCCAAAACACAGAGAAAGCTTGTCTAGGTTCTTCCTGGAAATTACATTTTATTTTCCTTATCCACACAGAATGAGGAGGTGAACTCCTGTCCAATTTCTCATGATTGACCTTTTTCAGAGAGCTATTAGTCACGAACAGGAAAAATGTCTGTACTCTCATACTGTGCACAGGTTAACTTCTGTGTTGCTGTATCATCCTCTTCACATATTCAGTTTAATAAATGCCATCGTTTAAGGTTATTTTCATCAATGAATAGATTACAATGAAGAGCAGCAAACAGATGAGGTGCTCAGGAGATCCGCACCTTCTGTGTCTGTTAGTGCAGTTGCTCCGTTTCAGTCAGTGGCATTTCTCTGCCCTATGATCCTCTTGAAAAATACTTTAATTCAGATCTTATTTATTTATTTATTTATTTTTGGCAGAACTGTTGCTTCAGAAGACATAAAAACCTCTGCATTGAGCATTGCCTTACAGCTTCTGTATATACAACGCTGGGCAGTTTTCTGAGAGTAAAAGTAGGGATGATCTCCCATACAGGCTAAAGCACATTCCTCTCCTCCTCCCCTCCACAGCTTCCACTGCATAAGCTGAAATCACCAAGAGATTCTGGAGTTAGTGTTGTTCTGGCATAGCAGCATAACCCTTATATGTCCTTGGATGAGAGATGTCCTCGCCTGCATGAGAGGACAGGCATCAATGCAGTTACGACTCAAGACTGATACACACTTTGAAGGTGCTCTCAAGAATTTAGAGAAGGCTATAGTTCATTGATCCATCTTCCATAAGCCAGCTGATACTGACACTTGGGTGAATAACATGACACACAATCATCCAGTAAAAATTAAATGGCCCAGGGTATGGTGAGAAAACTAATATAGGCGAGATACCTAAATTTTGGGTGGTGTATATTACGAGGCATTCATCCTGTCTTTGTTGGCCAAAGCAACTTGATGCCACAGTAATTCACGTGGGAGGAGAATAATACCAAATACTAACAATACCAAATCCCCAGCTTCAACCTGAAACTTTAATTTAAATTTGTGGCAACATGTGCTTAAATTTAGTATAAATGCAGCAAAGTAAGGAACATTTTTTTTTCTAGTTCTTTTCAAAGGGGTGACTGTGTGTGCTGGCTCGATCATGTCAGCAAATGGAGCCAACCTTCAGCTGCCAGAGGTGGCCTCAATTTCTTGGGGGCAGGTGGTTTCACAAGTCTCTGATGGTGCACTTTGTCCCCTACCAGAGACATAGAGAGGTGCCTGGTTTAATGCTGGCAGCTCTCTACATTCATATGCATATCACCAGTCTTATTGTTTGTTCGTTTGGGCCTTTCACATACCTTCAGTAGGGAAAGAGGCATTTATTTTAGTGAAGAATGTGACCGTGGAAATGTAAATTATCAGCAGGCTGCAGGCATAGCTTACTCTCCCCTAACATTAATTGTGGCTCACTTTTATTTAGCACTTGACATTCTCCATTTAATTCAGCACTGAAGTTTTAGAAAGGTTTCTAAAGTATCACTTACATTTTCTTTAACTGCCTTTAATAGCAGAAAAAAACACACAACCAAACAAAAAGACAAACAAAAAAACAGCATAGGTGAGCTACCACTTAACTCTAAAGCAGTAATAAGAGAACATATGCCCATTAAGCAGTAACAGAAGAATCCTACTAGGCTATTTCTAAAATTGCTTGCCAAACTGGGAGTGTGCATTCCTCAAATATATATAGGGTAGTCTTTCCCTAGAACAAACTACTCGGTGTTTATTGCCAACAAGAATGCATTAATGTGCCTGTGAGAGGCATGCTGGCCAGTGACAGACTGCACTATGATCAAAGTTGTTTTGAGAAGTAGTTCTGTGTCTTTCTTCCTGTTGGATAAAGACTTCCTAATTTAAGTTTATCTAAAGAGAAAAATGACAAAACGTTCAACTCACTCACAAAGTAGCAGTGGGTGGATCTTGTGCAGACAGCACAGTCAGGAACCTAAGTCTACTGAAATCCCTGCTAAGAAATTGCAGTTTTCTGAACTTTTTACTATTTTGATTTTATGAGGAAAGAGGCAGATCCATCCCCCGTAGGGGCTGCTGTCCCTGCACAGCCCCTTGTGGCTGGTACTGAGGGGCTGGAAGAGTTGATCCTTGCTGGATCAGCTTGGAAAGAGCTGCTTTTATCTGAGGAAGGTGATTTGCTGTTGTCTACTGGGTAGAGTCACAGAAACGTTCAGGTTGGAAAAGACATCTAAGGTCCTTTAAGAGCTCTGAGGCCTCTAAGGCCTCATCCTCTCTCCTGTCCCACACCTCAGACCAGGACTGTCCCTTTGCTGACCTTCTCCAGTGTATCCCTTGCCCAGGAAGAAAGACAAGGAAGGTATTAAGGAGAATTCTGGCTGGGCACAGAGGATCTGGAGAGAGCGGGGACTGACAGAAATGTCCCTGGCAGAAATAACCACCTGGGGTGGTTATTACTTAAAATCAGTGAGGAACAACTATCTGCAGCAGATTAAATTTGCTCTTCTCACTGTTTGTCAGGTTAGCTGCCTGTTGTAAGGAGAATTGGAAGTTTCTGAGGAAAACAGAAGGGCCTGAGAAGATGCACAGGCTGGTCTTGGGGCAGTGCCCCTGCTGTGACTGCTGGTTCAGGAGTGAGATTAATGTGAGCAGTCTCATCACAGCCACGGCCCAAACTGTTCAGGCAGGGCTTAGCAAGGTACACCATTTATTTTAACACCTTTTTAAAGCCCTGGGTGTGCTGGGGGCCCCAGGAGGGCCCCAGGCACCACCTGGGTTGTTGTCTCTGCGAGCCCAGTCAGCTTTCTGACCAGCTCCTCTCCTCTTGGCCCACATGCAGGGAAATAGAAATGACTGCGTTTCCTTGCACCAGGCTGTACAGGCCACATGCTGCCTTTCACTCTCTCACACAAATTTGGTTTACCTCACCGCTATGATTATACATGCCCTCAGCACAAGGGTGCTGGCAGACGTCCCCGAAGTCATTACCTGCACGGTGCTTTGGATCGAGGCCTAGTGGACTGCAATTATTTGAGGAGGGTTTCTTTTTGGAGCCGACACCTTAATTGCTAGACCACATCCCTTGGTTCTTTACAGAGGCAGAACCCTCCTGGCCACAATTAATAAAATCTGCAGGCTGTGGCCCCGTGCAGCCTGTGAGAGGCAAAGCATTGTGCTTTAATGGTTTAACCTTTTGGGTTGGTGCTTAACTCCTGACAGGTGCCACCAATCAGCATAAAAATGGAAAACCAGAACTGAAGTGTGTGCTTTGCTCTGTGTGTTTCTGTCCAGGTGCAATAACCAAGCAGCTCCTCTGCCTGGCAAAGAGCTCAGCATCTACCAAGGTGGGAGGTGTTGGTTTGACCTTATGGACTTCCTTTGAATCAGTGATGGGATGATTGAGGACAAATGTGCTCAGTCACAAACTTCTACACACACTCTGTATAAATCCCACCAGAAGTGGGCTTGCTGGAAGCAGGGAAACCAGCTGAGCCCATCGGGACCACTGCTGCCTGCAGCTGTGTGTGGCGGAGTGCAGCCTCTCTTTTGAGATAGATACTGGTCTTGGGTGCTGGTCAGGGGCACCTGAAAGCTAAATACAAGTGCTACTTAATAAATAGCAGCCCTGTCAGGATCACTTGCTTCTAAGGAGACAGAATTAATGGGGTTTTAGTCCCAATTCTGGATGTTCATGAAGGTTTTTGTTTTTTTTTTTTGTATGTGAACAGTCCCGTTGAAATCACTGGGATCAACTATCAAGGTCAAAGCAAGGTTTGCATCTGCCGCTGATCTGAAGCCTACTGCAGATGTTTGCTCAGAGCTTTATTTTTCAGACTGCATGCTTTTGTTGACTTTGATAGGATTATTTGCCCCAGTTTAGTGCATGGAGTCACAGCCGTATGTGTGGGTCTGGGCTTTAATCTGCTATCAGAAGCCTCCGTTCACATTCCTCCCCCTGTCCCTGCACTACAGATCTCACCTTCTTGCATTATGTCTACTCAAACCTGCTGCAAAATGTTTTGTCCACTCACAGGTATAGCTGAAAAATCATAGTGCAGAAGACAGAGTGTTACCCTGTGCTTGAGAGCATCTGTAGAAATGTGGAGCTGCTGGCATTGAACTCGTGCTTTATGATGAACACCAGTATATATTTAGTCTTCTTAAATATTATTTGATATATATATATATATATTATTATGATGCTGCTTGAATCAGTGTAGGGATGGAGTGAAAGTATTATTTGGAACAGAGGATTAGGAAAATAATTCTATCAAAAAAATTAGCATGTTGGATAAAAACATGTGGCCATATGGATTGCAACCAATAACACCCAAAGATTTTAAGACTGAAGTCACACCAAAGGAAGAAGTAAACACTGTCCCTGTCTGCTGGCAACATTCTGCTTTCAGCTGCTGTTATCATTTCAAAATAACCCTCATGTGAGTGAGTGGAAGAGAATTCCTTGTGCTGCACCTCAGCATGGATGCTGTGCTCTTGTTCTTCCGTGTGGTGCATATCACAGAGGAGGAAGCTGAAGGAACTCACTGCATGTGTTCTCCCATCCTACCAAGTCCAGAAATGCCTTTCAGAGCAGTACTGTACGGTCACAAAACTGTACTCAGTTAAAAGACTGTTGTGACATTATTATTAGAAATAGCTGCAGCAACGACTTGCCAAATGAACCATTAAAAGAAAACCAGATTCACTGAACCACAGCAAAATTCATTAAAGCTTGCTTTGGGCAACATATGGTTTTTGAAGGTCTCTATCTTTTTAACCATTCATCTCTTCCAGTATCTGTGGCAAAGCCCTCCACCTCTCCTTTTGTTTCATTTGAATGTAAATACTCATGTACAATAATGCACGTTTCCTTTAGTGACAAGCTCACTTGGCAGTGTCACTGGTACATCAGACAATCTACCGACACATAGAAATGTGAACATCCAAAACAAACAAACAAAAAACCACGAACAAACAAAAAACAACAACTTTATACTGTTAAAGTAAGTGATAAATTATTTCTGCTTGGGGAACACTAGTTAAGACTTTTTGGCTGTTGCTTTTTCTCTTTAGTTGAGTAGTTTCTGGTCTTCAGTCTAAAGTTTCAGAGATCCTAAACGACATTTATTTCAGGTGATGAATGAGAGATCCAAACCCGATTCCTGTAAATGGAAGACTCACAATTAGAGCCCACTGTGTAAAGTACGGGCAGTAGCTTGCCTGTTCCTCGGAGCACGTGCCCACACTGCCGTCTAGCTTCTGCAGAGGTTGTTGCACGCTTTTGCTTCATTCTAGCTGATTACATTCATACGCTGGGCAGCATTACCGAGCCACCTGTGGTGGCTGGGGCATCACGACATGGGCTTCTGTTCTTGGACAGGGTCCCCTGACATGCCACCCTCTGCTGGTCTCGGTGCTGTCTTCCACTTGCTGTGCCTCTCTCCTGTCCTTATTCTGTGTCTCATGCTATATATACCATGCATACAACTATTTTTTCTCTTTCACCACAAAAATCTTAAGTTTTCTCGTTAGGACTACAGGCATCTTATATACAGTCACTACTGGGATCTTAAAAGGTCATTAGGCTTCCATTTACTATGCTATGAGCTTGTGTATATTTACCAAAATCTGTATTTATACAGTTTTTAGGTTACAGGTAGTGTTGCAAAAAAAAGCAGACAGGAAAATAGAAAGCAAATACTTATTATTAAGACAACAGGGATCTGTTAAACTGTGGCTTGAACTTGTGTAATTCGTCCAAACAATCTGTAATGCAGGAATTAAGCCATTACGTTCCAGCTTCCTTGCTGCTATAATTCAGGAGAAATTGATTATCATTGGTAGATTAAGGTGTTTTGAGGTAGAATTCAGCCCACGGTTTCCTGTTTTGTTTCCATTTCTTGACTTTCTTCCACAGTCTTCATTAAGTAATTCAGCTACAGCATTAGCTATCCTTACATATTCCTGTCAACCTTATAATTAACATGTATCCATGGGTACTGCCTCACGTTAGTGAGGCAAGGTCGCATTTGAAGGGGAATCTTTTTGCATCCGTTGAAGCAGCTGTTAGTGTGGCTGCATACCTGGATGAATCAATTAATCATTTCATTAAGCTAAAGTGCCTCTTAGCGATGCTAATCAAAAGCATGCTGATCACAATTTTCCCAAACAACCCCCTGAAACCTAAACAAACAAACAGAACACTTCGTGACTAACAAACACGCTCTGCTGTCACAAACAGGCTAAGCTTTGTTTAACATAATCATCATAATAATAAGATCTGAAGGGGATTTCGTCGGCATTATGAATATGTTCCTTTAGGGATGATAGGCATTAGCAAAAGAGCCATCCCTGGTGATTGCATCTGAATGGTTAATGCTGCTGAAGGCATGGTTATTTGCTATACCATTTTGGACAGGAAACGTTTTCTGATCTTCACTGCATCTTTGTGGGTGAGGAGAGCTGGCTGCTCCTGGCCCTTCCTGGGACACCCCTGGTGCAAGCTGAGGGGTTTTGCACATGCTCCCTGACTTCCACAGGCAAGCACAGGACTAGCCAAGCACAGAGTTTGGAAGGGAAGGGGAGCTGGAATACACAACACAGGTGGTAGTGCTGAAAGTGGGCAGCTTCAGGGGAATTTTCCTGAGAGGTATGCATGTACATGTAAATAAATGAGACAACTGGCATCAAAACTGCATAGGAACTGAATTTTTAACAGTTAATGCTGATGTGCTGAGTTTGTATTCTCTTTTCTCCTGAAATTAGGTATCTGTTAATGTAATTTCTTAAATCCGGGATCTGAATCCTGGGCACTGATCCCTATGGCATCAGCATTAAAGCAATGCACATCTGCTGGGCACAAGAGTCAGAGTGAAGATTTTCTCCAGCGTGAGAAACTGAGCTGATTCTAAACCTCAAGTTTTTGGGATTTCTCTGGTTACTTGCAGCTCTCCAGAGCTGTGGGCTCTGCTTCCCACTGCAGGGAGCATCTGAGAGTCTCCAGAGGTTGCTGGAGACCTGTGGGGCCGGCAGGGAAGCGGTGCTGCGGTGCACTTCTCCATCTGGTGGCTGCCTGGGGGTGAAGCAGCTCAGGGTGCTCACAGCAGCTCAGCTACCCTGAAGGCACAAGGCTCCCTGGAAAAAGAGAGAGAGGCAGAGGGTGTTGTCTGTCTGCACATACACCTTCGCAGGGGGCACTGGCACAGCCTGTGGCAGTTTTTATGTATTTGTGAGGAGCCCTACTGGCAGTCCCAGGGCTGTGGCTGCTGCTTGGGGCACAGGAGCAAGGTCCCTGCTGGGTGGATGAAGCTCTGCTGCTAGCAGAAGCCCGGGGAGCTGAGCCCAGCCTCGCAGGGGAAGGCTTTTCCCCAGCCTGAGGAGGTCTGTGGGTCTGAAGGGGTGACACAGGTCAGGGTGAGGAGCCATCAGGCTTCTGCTCCTGCCAGCCCCATGCTAATGAGCTGCCGCACCCCATATTGTGACCCCTTCAGAATTCTAACGGTTTTGGGTCACAGTTGAGCTGCCTCAGGCAGAAGCTCTGTGTCCTCCTCCGAGGCAGGTCGCAGTTCACGAGCTCTCTTCGAGTGAGCGTCAGGCAGCGGGTGTAAGCAGCTCCCAGCAAGGGAAAGCGGCTCCCAGCTGCCCATTTTCGTGACTCCGGAGTCACAGCTGGTCTCTCTGAGCGGATCCCACCTTGCCTAAGAGCTGACACACGCAGACAGCAGTTAGAAGGTGGATCACGGAGGACCCTTGCAGATCGTGTAGAGATGTGGTGCAGATGTCCGCAGGTAAGAGGCCTGATAGCAGTGATAGAAGTAAGTAATGGGGAGGGGCTCAGCCCCAGTGCCCAGAGCAGAAATGGTGCGTGTACCCCAGATTCAGTTACTGGGTAAACGCAGTGAGTAAACCCAGAGGCAGTGCCAGCACTAGGACTGCCGATCACAGCACATATGCCTGAGAATTGGTGAGCGGGAGTGTTTCCGTCTCCCCCAGATGCTACAAGTAAATGTGTGTGTGCAGGTCGATGTAATTTGCTAGCAAACTTCCAGCCTGCCCTGGGAATGGGCTGGGCTACCGGGCGGGCAGAGGCTTGTGCTGGTGTCCTGTGGGGAGCAGTTGGGGGCACTGGGGCTGTTTGGTCTGGGGAAGAGGAGGCTGAGGGGAGACCTCATTGCTGTCTGCGCCTGCCTCAAAGGAGTGTGTGGGGAGCTGGGGGGGGGGGGTCGGCCTTTTCTAAAAAATAACTGGTGACAGGACTGGAGGGAACGGCCTCCAGTTGCGCTGGGGAGGTTTGGGTGGGAAATGAGGGGACATTTCTCCTCAGAAGGAGCAGTCGGGCGTTGTTAGGACGCGTTGCCCGGGGAGGCGGTGGCGGCACCGCCCCTGGGGGTGTTCGGGGCCGGGGTTTGGCGGCCGGTGAGTGCGGGGATGGTGGGGTCGGCCCCAGCCCTGCCCCCCGCCCCCGCGGGAAGCTCCCGGTGACCAACCAGCGGGGCCCTGCCCTCGGGGCTCCTGGGGCGGCGTCCTTCGGCCTCTCTCCTCCTCCTCCTCGTCCTGCTCCTCCTCAGGGCCCCGCGGGGCCGCCCCGCAGCAGCCGCCCGGCCGCGGCCCGCGCCCCGCACAGCACGTAGCCCCACGACAGCAGCACCAGAGCGGCCAGAACCTGAGGGAAAAAAAAAAAAACAAACAAACAAAAAAAAAAGCGATAAGAGGCGTAACGCGGGGCTGTCGCGAGGCGGGGATATCGCGATACGGCCCCTCCCCCCCCACCCACCAGGCGGCAGAACGGCCGCGGGTTCCGCCGCCCCGTCATGGCGCCCCCTGCCCGGTAGCAAGATGGCGGCGCGCAGCACGGAAGTGACGTCGTGAGGCAGCGACCGCCATGCTGCCTCCGCTGACGGGCGGGCGGCGGCGGCGGCGGCGGCGGCGGCGGCGGCGGCGGCGGGAGAGAGGGGGGGGGAGGGAGGGAGGGAGGGGAGGGGAGGGGAGGGGAGGGTGGGGAGGGGAGGGGAGGGGAGGGGAGGGAGGGGGGGGGTGGTGAGGGGAGGGGGGGGGCCCGGTTGCCGTGGCAACGCCACTTCCGCCGCCGATGTCGGAGCCGCGCCGGGGCCTGGCGGAGCGCGGCCTCCGCCGCCGGCCGGGCCGGGAGGAGCGGCGGGGCCGGGGGGGGCGGGGCCGCGAGCGGCACCGGCACCGGCAGCGGCAGCGGGAGCGGGAGCGGAGCCGGGCTGGGAGCGGGTCCGGCCGCTGCCGGGCTCGGCACAAGGGGAAGGCGGCGGCGGAGCTGGGCCGGGCTGGGAGACAGGCGGTGAGTGCGGGCCGGGCCCCTCCGGCTGTCCCCTCCGCCCGCCCGCCCGTCCCGCACGGGCACCTGTTGGCATCACCCACGCTGCTCACCCCCTGTTTGCCTCCTCCTCCTCCTCCTCCTCCTCCTCCTCCTCCTCCTCCTCCTCCTCCTCCTCCTCCTCCTCCTCCTCCTCCTCCTCCTCCTCCTCCTCCTCCTCCTCCTCCTCTCCCAGTGCTCAGCCAGCTTTGGCTTCGGCGAGGAGTTCCCAGACGACGACGACGAGGACTCCCCGCCGATACCCGGTGCCAGCTGGCAGCCCCAGACCATGCCCTCGAACACGTCGCCGGATGCCAAGTGCCCGATCTGCCTGGATAAGTTTGACAACGTGGCCTACCTGGACCGCTGCTTGCACAGGTTCTGTTTCCACTGCATACAGGAGTGGTCGAAGAGCAAGGCAGAGTGCCCACTTTGCAAGCAGCCCTTCTTTTCCATCTTCCATACGGTGCGTGCTGAGGATGACTTTGAGGAGTACGTGGTCAACCCGGTGGAGAGCGGCTCTTTTGCCAGCCATGATGGCCGCAGGTTTCGCTACCGAACCACCTTAACCAGGGAACGCCGCGAGTTGCCTTTCCTCCAAAGCGGTTCCGCCTCTCGACTGACGATGTCCCCGCCGGATAATGGGATTTTGTTCGAGGGCTTGTCCAGCCAGCCGGTGCAGCAGAGAGATGAGGAGATTCAGCAGATGCTGAGGAGGCTGGCCTCGAGGAGGCAGGCCAGCGCGGAGGGCAGATCCATGCGGCAGATCCAGGAGGAGGAGATGATCAACTTCCGCAGGGCCCTGTACCGCACCGGGATGCGCGTCCGTAGCATCCAGGACGGCGGCCGCTACCGAGACATTTCAGCAGAGTTTTTCCGCCGCAACCCTGCCTGCCTTCACAGGCTGGTTCCCTGGCTGAGGCGAGAGCTTACAGTCTTGTTTGGTGGCCACGGGTCCCTGGTTAACATCGTGCAGCATATCATCATGAGCAACCTGACCATGTACGACCTGGAAAGCGACGCCTTTGCCGATGAGTTGAGACCATTTTTGCTGAACCGGACCGAACACTTCCTACATGAGTTCATCAGTTTTGCCCGATGCCCTTTTAATTTAGACGCGTACGATCAGCATGCCAATTACGACTGCCCTGCGCCTTCATATGATGAAGGAAGCCACTCGGACTCGACAATCATTACTATATCTCCAGATGAGGCAGATGCCCACGGACCAAACCGCAGTTCATCCATGACCAGTATTGGCCAGGCCCCCTGGGATGATGAAACTCCAGGGCCTTCCTATTCCATTGCAGAGGACATCCGTACAACCATAGTTTCTCCTCTGGTGACATCAGAAAGTTCTGATGAAGACTCTGCTGCAAGGAGAATCCTACAGCAGGCTCAGTTACAGCCAAATGCTTACGCAAATGACGGTGATTCTTCTTCGGACAGTTGCGTTATTGTTGGGTATGTTAAGCCACTAGCTGAGAGGACACCAGAAGTGGTTGAGCTGTCCTCAGACTCCGAGGAGTCCATCAGGGAGGAGAGAAGGGAGGATATGACACAACAGCAGCCAGTCCAGTGTCGCAGCTGGAGTGACAGTGAACAAAGCAGGAGCTTATCACCACGCTTCCCCATGTATGAAGAGACTGTAGGCAGCTACAGGAGCTCCTTATTCCCTGCAGCCGAGACAACAGAGTTGAATGAGGAGAAAAACAAAGGTAAAGCAAAACGTCTGCCTCCACAGAACTTGATCTGGAGCCCCTCTTTGGAGAGGGACACGACGTGCTCCCCTTTTAATCACAGATGGTCCAGAAAGACAAAGCCCAGGAGTCCTCAGGCTTTTTCACAGAACAGTCAAGACAGCCATGGCCATGGGTCTGAGAGGGAGCATTACAGCAAACGCCACCCTAGAAAGAGGCGATCAAGAAGCAGAGACAGCGGCAAACATAGGAATAAAAGGAGCAGGAGGAGGTCAAGAGCTCGTGCCAGGAGTGGCTCCCGAAGAAGCCGGAGTCGCTCCCCAAGAAGCCGTAGAGGCTCCCCTAGTCGTGAGAGCACTACGTCCAGGGAATTAAGCAGATCACGGTCGCTTAGCAGAGGCCGTCGCAGAAGGAGATCAAGGAGCAGAGACAGGAGATCAAGGAGTAGAGACAATGGCAACTATTACCTAAAAGACCATTACCAAGGCAAGCACCACTGGGGTTACACTTTGTATAGTCGAAAGAAAGGTGAAGAGGACTCCTACGGCAGGAATGATCCTCCATCCAATGCCCAATGTTCAACACAGTCTGCTAATCCGGAATGCAGAATCCAGTCCTTTACTGAAAGGCAAGATCCGCACAGCCAGAAGGGACCTCACGAGCGACACTATTACGAGCGATGCAGATCAAGGAGTCGATCAAGCGATAGGTCAAGGAGCCCACCTGCAGGGGCTGACAGAACAAAAAACGAAAAGCCCGGTGGGAAAAGGAAGTACAAAACTCGGCACTTGGAGAGGGCAGCACAGGGGAGCACAAGTCAAGAGAGAGAAAATGACCACAGGAGAAATTTCTCGACATTCAACGACTTCTACGGAAATGAAGATAGCCTTTCAGACAATCGCGCAAGTAGCGAGACCAGGCATAAGAAAAAGAAGAAGAGAATGAGAAGCCCAAGTGTGGAGATAGTCTATGAAGGAAAAACGACAGACGCAACAAAGCACATGAAAAAGAAGAAGAAAAAGCATAAGAAGAAACACCGCAAACATCACGCACATTCCTCTCCAGTGCTGATTACAATTGATACTGATAGTGGCAAGGAGCCGGAAAGTACTGAATGTGACAGCAATGTTACTTGGACAGGCACACCCAGCTTAAACGAGCAGGAAAATGAGTCTCTATCATCTCTTCTGGGAATGACAGGATGTGACGATGTTTACAGAGCGAGCGAGGAAACTGGAGAACCAGCCGGAAACTGCAATGTTCCTACTAGACGTGACTTTGATGCTGACATTAGTAATGCTGACACTGAGCCTCAGGAAGCAGCTGGTAAGAGCCTGGTAGCGGATGCGTCAAGCAGCAGCACCACTCACATAGTAACTGTGATAAACCACGGTCAAGAAGCACAAGCAACGCCTTCCAGTCAACTGTCTTCCCCCAGGACAGAGTATCCAGAGTGACTATCACTGATACCAAGGCTGCCAAAGAGACTTGTTAACAAATCCCATTGGCTTGAGTCCCCAGACAAAAACATGTAGCGTATTTTACACTGAATAATTCTTAAAATTGTGAATTTAGTAACTTTTTTCCCCCATTGAGAACAAAGCACCTGGTATGACTTGTTTGTGTTAAAATATGTCTGGGAGCTGTGTAAAAACCCTTGAATGTGTATGCACTTTTATGTCAGAGAAGATAAGAGTATTGTTAGTATGTAACTTAGGTTTCTTGAAGGACTACTTAAAAGCTATAATTTCATAAAGCCATCGTATTTTCTCATGGTATGTAAAATTTATCCACAGAGTTATTTCAAAGCTGTGTTTAAAAACCAAACACGCAGCAAAAACATACCAAAAGACAGAAAATACATCTTATGGGGATTACTCTTCTTATACGTAAGAAATATTGCTTAGTTCTTAAAAAATATTTCATGATAAGTTGTATTTTGTGTAGTTTAAGCTGGTCTCTGCTAAAAAGCAGTTGGCAATTTCTACAAAGATCTTGAACAACACCTTCAGTAATATAAGTTGTTAAGTCAAAATTTGAACAAAGCAATAAACTTTTTTTTTTTTAAATTTTAATAATTTAAAGCCATGGACTGTGTTCTTTGCCGGCAGAACATTTCTCTTTTGGTTTTGGGTTTACAGACCAACATTTGTGCTGTTGGTGGTTCTCTGGGTTGGGAGGTTGTCAGATCCTAGCCCTCACTGAAGGCAGGAACACCTTTGGTCAGATTGCTCAGGGTCCGTGCAGTTTTGAATGTTCCCCAAGCTGGGGATCTCAAAGCCTCTCTATGATACCTCTTCCTTTTTTCACAAAAAATCCCTTGGGACTTCCAAGTCCCTTCCAACCCAAGCCACTGTATGGTTCTGTGATTCTAAGATTTCCCTGAGGAAACAAGACACTGTGTCCCACTGTCATCAAATTTCACCCCCAGGTAAACCAGGTGCAGCTGCCCCCTGGGGCTAAGCATGTAGAAGTGCCCAGTTTTGCTCCAGAAAAAGCTTCAGTAACCCAGAATACTTTGGCATCGCTGACCCTCCAGGACAGGGGCTGCAGGAGAGCTTGCCCAGGGTCAGTGCTTCCAGCCATATTGCTTCAAGGCGGGTCTCCAGGGCTGACCAGGCCCAGATGCTGAGGGGACAGCAGCAGCAACAGCGTGTCTGCTCTTTCCCAGTCACCCACATGGGCACTTTTCAGTCCTTGCTGCTTGGAGGGCTGTGAAACCCCAAGCTCATGAGATGTGACTGAAATTCAGTGCTCCGAGAAGCCCCCAGGGCCAGCTGTAGAGCCATGTCGCTTCAGGCTGAGGGAGGTGGGGGGAGCTGCCTGTCCCTGGGATGGGAAGCTGACAGGGTCTTTTCCTTTGGGCATGGGCATGGCTGGGAGAAAAGCAGCAGCAGCAGAAGCCAACACACTCCCATAAGGCAGCACTCTGAGATACAGCAGCCCCTCCACCACCAGAGAAGAGTCAGAGCACCCTGAACCTGGTGTCCGTCCTGGCCAACATGACCAACCATCAGCTGTCTGATGGCAAGAAAATGTCCTCCCGCAGGTAACATCTGTCTTCTCTGGGCCAGCAGCCTCCTTTCCAGAGCTGCCGTGTCTCACCTCTTCTCCCTGCCTTGTCATTCTGCTGTGGATCCCACCTCGGTGTCCTCCTTGGCACACCCAGCACTGCCAGGAAAGCTTTACTGTACAAGGCAGTCCCCATACCCACCTGGGTGCTGGTGCTTTTGGTGTAAATCCAGACCCGATTTTATGCTGTAGGCCAAGGGATTCAAAAAGAGGAAGGCAAGGGAGTGACTGCTGCTGCAGCACCGTTTGCTGAGGTTTTCTCCCAACCCTGCTGCTCCTTCCCAGTCAGTCTGGCTTTGCCCTTCCAACCCCAGCGCTCCAGCTTCCCTTTATGAGAGCCTCCTGCTCTGCTCTGCCAGAGGTAAGCTAACTGTTGTGCCTGCAAGCTAGGCACCCATCTCTTTGTCCTTGCCACTGCTGACCGGTTGACTCCAGAGCCTTCCAGGATGGATTAGGTTGCAAACTGGGTTAAGTTCACCTGTTTTCTGGCCCTCATGGTGCACCAGGGCAGACCGTAATGAGATGACATGGTGGCAATTTGAAATTACTGTAATTCCACATGAATCCTGAAATTTGGAAATAGGACAAGGTATAGTGAGAGGTACTGCACTAGTGAAAGTTTAAAAAACCTGTAATAAAGCTGGTGGCACCTATGGGGTTATCTATGAGAGAGGCAGTGGAACTGTGTCAAACAGCTTGGCCTGCTACAACCACATGTGGTGCTGCAGACCAAAGGTGAACACAAGTTCGCAGTTTTAACGTCCATCACCTAAACGTTTTGTGATTATTATTGGAGGACCAGTTTCCTGCCCAGCTGGTCTATTGGTAAATATGGACAATTTGGAGAACTGTAAGGCAGAACCAAAACATTCAATTTAAATAAGTCAAACAGTGGCAGGAAGAAGGTGTTGTCTTGTGCTGTTTTGTCTCTGCAAACTCAAGCAATTCCTGATGCTGACAGTGCTCCTGCTGTGCTGCTATGGCATCGGTTTCTTCCTCTCTGTCCCTTTCTGCACCCCTGACTGCTTATTGTGCTCTGCCAGCTCTGTTAGAGGAGCTCACACAGTCTCCACCCTCCTCATGTGCTGTGAAGGCAGTGCAGAGTGTGCACGAGCCTTGTTGCATGGCAGAAAGAATGGGGTGCAGCAACAGATGCTGCGGTTATGGGAAAATCCAGGAAAGGTGTTACGGATGTTTACAGGTATGGTTAGAGCATACGATCCAGTATGGAAAGACATTTATCAGTTGTTAGATGATTTGTTTACTCTGGATGAACAAAACAAAACAAAACAAAAAAACAAATACACAATGATTTTGACAAAGGACTGGGCTGTGGCCCAGTAAGACAGAACTGCGTGCCTAGAGCAAGAACCAGGTTTACCAGAATCACCAGACTTGGGCAGGGGTGGATGCAGTTAAAATGGGTTAGTGGGGCTGTTTGAAACTGGTCCTAATCTAGCATGGGGCAGTTTCTGGATTCTTCTCACATGCCACCACATGTAGCCCCCAGCTACCAAAACCTTGCCATGTAAACCCACTGCACTAGGCCAACAGCCCAGGCACGTGGCCTAGCACCCAGCAGAGCTTTCAGGCAGACAGATATTTTCTCCTCTCCGTGTCTGGCCGACATTTTCTCTCACAGCTTCGCCCAGCTCCACCAGGTTACCCCTGTTGCTCTTTTGCAACAACTAAACCTCAGCGTGCTATCAGCATTGTTCTCATCCTAAATCTATAACAAAGCACCGTACATGCTAGTTGGAATAAAATTAACTCCATCCCACCTGAAAATGGGATGGTTTGTGTGAAAAGCAAAAAAACTCTCCATACTCAACCAGTAGTCAGACTAATGAGACGTCATATTTTCTAGTGCTATTTAAAGGATAGCATATACATATATCTATTTATTCATTAAGTTGTGAATTTTATGAATATAAAAATACATTTTGAGTTTTATGAATATCTAGATATTAATCATACAATTTTTAAGTAACTCGACATTTCAGCAAAGTTTCAGCCTGTTTCAGGAGTGAGAAAAAACACAGACACAGAAGAGAGAAAGGAGGACGAGCAGCACGGGTGGTTTCTGAGGGGGAGCAGCTGCATCCCTGGTGAAAATCAGGCCCTTTTGAGACCACTGAGATGCCAAGGGGTGTAGGACATTGGCAATGAGGCCACCAGAGGGTGCTGTTAATGTGTTAATGCCCATCTTCCTGAGACAGCCTCCACAGGATGTTTCTTGCTTTCTGCTGCTCTCTGAAAGCAAAGGGTTTATTTCTCAAGCTGACTCCTGCTTCCTGAGGCAGGATGAAGCGATTCGCCAGTGTCCTGCTCCATCTTTATGACCGCTATCATTTGTCTGCCCCACTTTGAGGTGCTCAGCACAGGTCAGGGGTGGCCCTGTCTCCTCCTTCCTGTTCCTAGGCCAACCCAGCAGAGGTTTCAGGTGGGCAGACATTTTCTCCTGTCCATGCCTGGCAGACATTTTCTCTCACAGCATGGTGTGGCTCCACCAGGTTATCCCTATCACTGCTCCATCCCCTGCATCCACCTGGGATCGCAGCAAAGAGCCCAGCAGGCGGGTGGTGAGCCCTCCCTCAGATGGAGGAAAGAGGCCATGGCAGTGCTTTGGACCCAAGGCCATCATCACTCCTTCTGAAGGCACGGAAACTCCTACAGCCTTGGCTCCCTGGGCCATATTTAAGGCAGGTTCCTGCATTTGTCCTGTTGCCCCGTGCCGTGCATATGGCAAGAGAGGTTCTCTGCTAAGAGAAGAAAGGGCAGCAGAGTTGCCACCACGCAGCCTTTGAGTGAGATTTCTTTGCCCAGAAATTTTTGAGATTTCTGGGTCCTGCAAGGGTCCTCCAAAGCCTGGCAGAGAAGGCACAGGAGCTGTGGGACATTCACAGCCTTCTTCCTCAGAAGGCACCTGGACTCTGGACAGAGCATGCAGGGACTGTCAAAGGGCCCCAGCTAACTGTGTGGGCTGCTCCATCCAGCATCATTGCTGGTGGAAGTCGTCTTGCCTAAGCCTGCAACAAAATGGAGCCAGGTGACCCCTGAAAGAGATGCAATTGCTGTCCCCTTGTGCATCTCCAGGTGTGTCCACGTCAGGGCTCAGTGCAGTCCACAGTCCCCCCTGCAAGTGCTTCTGACACACCTAGTGTTAGAAACATCCCACACCTCTGTGTGCTCTGCAGTATCTTTCCTTAAAACAAAGAGCTGGGACTCCTAACTTTAGAAACCTCAGAAATGGCAGCACCTTCCTTGCTGTGCTCAACTCTTTGTATCTCACAGAAGCCATCCAGTGACTTTTGCAAGCTCTTGTGTCACTTTCAAGGGGAACTAAGTGAGGACACCAGCACTAACAGAGGGACCTGTTGCTGCCACATGCCCCAGTTCTTTTGGGGCTCCCCCTGTTCCCTGGGGACGCTTGAGGCAGTGGGGTGGCCGGTACCCCAATGAGGAGCAGCATGGGGTGTGCTGGGCTACTTGTGGATGTAGTCCATCCACGAAAGCTTCTGTCCTATCCCCCAGGCATCTCAGCAGCTGCTGGACTAGGACATTCCTTTCTGGCCCGGCATGGCACAGGGTCTGCAAGATTATGTTCTCTGCTACCATTGCTGACCACCAGTGTGCCCTGTAGGTGACAGACAGCTCCCAACGCAGCCAGGGCAGCACAACTCACCGCCAGCCCCTCTGCTCCCTCTGCTCCCCTCATGTACTGTTATGTACTGTACTTTTTTTTTGAGAACAAACTGTGAGAAGAAGTATTGAAAACTTTGCTGAAATCCAAAAAGATTACATTGACTGTCTGTCCTTACATAAATTGCCAGTCAGAAGAAATACATACTCCACCTGGCAATTTTTCAAAGTTTTAAAGGTAATTTCTCCTCAGGAAACCTGCAAGACCTTTTATTAAGATTTTTGCCACATGCTGTCACATGTTCTGCTCTTGGGGACCTTGGACCACCATTGCAACCATGTCTGCAATGTGTACTTTTAACAG